TCTAGATCCTGATAATTATGTCCTTTCTCGGAGTCAGATTTTACTTCTAATAATCGTCGGAAAGGATTAATTCTATTGAAAAATGCGGATTTCTCTAATCCATGCCTTTTTGGTAGTAGCAACCATCGACAGCCAGAATCCTTTGAGTTTGCAATTTTCAAACAATACCCTAAAACAAGATGCTTGGTGTTATGCGTTTAGAGAGCCAATTTAATCACATTGCAGCATAATCAAGTAAGGGGTTAGAGGGCCAGAAGGAGATAACAACTCAAGTTGTTTCCTTCTAAACGCATGCTTTACGAGATCATTTATTACAATAGCAGTTAATCTTTTCGATCTGACAAAAAAAATCCATTTAAGCGCATACTAGCTATATACGGCGTATACACAAAGAAGGGTTTATTGTATCTAACGGTTTTCTATTATATGTACTATTCTTGATAATCGTAACAGTCTTTAAAGAATGAGACTTCTTGTTGCATAGATTTGACAAATGTCTCTTCACATAATTCTTCATCCTCCGGGGTTTTAACAACTCTTTCAACTTCCCCTTTTAAGAATTCTACCCAATTGGTAAATGCTTCTCCACTATGTAAATTGATCCATTCTTGATGTTTATAACCTAAATCCCGGGGAATCAAGTTCTTATCAATATTATATTGTGCCCAACCGAGGTAGACTTTTTCCATAACATAAGTGAAAGTAATTAATTCAATATATGAATCACTTTCAAAAGTAAGATATTTCAATAAATTGATATAATTGTTAACTTCGGGTAATGTAATTGGATCATCACCCAACATTTTACTTGCCTTTGATTGGACTTCTTGTAAATTAGTTTCTTTGATTTCAGACAATGCCTTAAAAAAATAATCATTTTCATCGTTTGAAAGAAATCCGATTTGTTTAGCTAAAGTAATTGCTGCTTCTGGATTATCACATAATGAAAGTGTTTTACCTAATAAGTTAAGACCAATTTGAAAGAATTTTAAATCTTGAGTTAAGTATGTGAATAATCGATAATCAGCTAAAGTCCCATCACATAATTCATTAGTTAATGGATGAGTAATTGATTCGGTGAACAAATCAGAATGTTTCTCTAAGAGTTTATCAATAATTGACATGGTTTAGTGGTGGCTACTTGTAGTTGTCATCTCTTCCGAGTCATTGGGTCTTTTAATAGCATATTTATAGAATTTAGTTGGAAGCAAGTCAAGAGAATATTTTTTAATTTGTTGTCTCTCCCCTTTCTCTTTATTATTTGAAAATTGAAAATTTTTCATATTATAAATTATGCGCTTACAGGTCTTTTCATTGAGTGAATTCTTACACAATTAATTATATTAATTATATACGAATTTCTTGACTCTATCTTCGCTCCTCTCTTCTCCTTTGTAATTGTATTGTATTGTACTTTAGAAAATATTTCATTTATTAAATTATGTTATATAAAGGCTGATGAACATCCCTCCTTCTCTTCTCTTCTACTTTCTAATTGTTCATCAGTTGACTCTTACAGTGGCTTTTATCTCTGAAGTAAATCATCATCATGGAAGACTCAAAAAAGAATCAAGCTTCAGTTGATGATTCATTCATCTCCACAACTGATAGCGATAAGATAAATTCGATAAGCGGTCCCCGTTATATCACCTGGATATATAAATTAGATAACTTTGGAGTAGAAACTCGTGGTATTGAAAGAGTTTCAGTTGAAGAAAGAGAATCTATTGCCCAATCTACTTCAAGATGGTTTCAATTTGTTCAAGTTATTGGTCTTTGGTTTGCTGCTTGTGGTGGATTAACTTCAATGTCATCTTACTTTTTACCTAGTTTGTTATTTGGTTTAAATTTACGCGACTCGATGGTTAGTGGGATCATATCTATGATTATTGGATGTCTTGTTCCTGCTTATTGTGCCACTATGGGTCCTAAATCCGGATGTAGACAAATGGTTACTGCTAGATTCTTATTTGGCCAATGGGGAGTTAAGTTTGTTGCAGTGATAGCCATTATTGGTGGTGTTGGTTGGTCCGTTGTCAACTGTGTTTTGGGTGGACAAATGTTGGTTGCAATTAATGGTAATATTTCTCTTTCAGTTGGTATTGTGGTGATCTCCGTTGTGAGTTTGATCATTGCCATTTTTGGTATCAGAGTATTATTAAAGTTCCAAACCATCTTGTCAATTCCAATTTTCATTGCTGTTGTGTTGTTTTATGTTGTTGTCTGCAAGAAAATTGGATACATTCCCGAAGCCAATGAATTAATTAGACAAGAAGGATTCTCCTCCTTAACCACCAGAGGAAACTGGCTTTCATTCTTTGCTATTGGTTACTCCATCACTGCTACTTGGGGTTGTGGGGCTGCTGATTACTATATCCTTTTCCCAGAAAAGACTCCATCCTACCAAATCTTTTGGGTCACTTTCTTGGGTATCAGTGTCCCAACAACTTTTGTGGCTATAGTTGGTACTTTATGTGGAACCATCGCATTTGCATACAAACCATGGAATGATGCATACAATAATTTAGGTGTCGGTGGTCTTATCGTGCAAACTTTTGATGTCTGGGGTACTTTTGGTAAATTTGTTGCAGTGGTTCTTTATCTTTCCCTTATCTGTAATAACATTATGAACACTTATTCCATTGCTTTTGAATGCCAATTGATTGATCAATATTTATTATATATCCCAAGATGGATCTGGGCGACAATAATGACTGCCGTCTATATTGCCCTTTCATTAGCTGGTCGTGAGCACTTCCTGACTATCTTAAGTAACTTTTTACCTATGTTAGGATATTGGATATCCATGTATATTGTCTTATTACTTGAAGAAAACTTGATTTTTAGATCAACAGTCAAAGTTCGTAAGATGTTACATGAACTGGAATATCAAGGTGAGAATTATCATTTACTTTATAATTGGAAGAATTGGAATAAACCTAAAGGAAGAACCATCGGGCTTGCTGCTAGTTTGGCATTCTGCGTCGGTGTGGTAGGTGCTATATTAGGAATGAACCAAGTGTATTATCAAGGAGTGTTGGCTAAAAAGATTGGTGATTATGGTGGTGATTTGGGTATGTGGCTTTCATTTGCATTCACAGGAATTACATATCCAATATTCAGATACATCGAATTAAAAAGATTCAGCAAGTAGTTTATAGTAAAACTAATGTAATAATACAATTAATAACTTTATTTCTTCATTGATATAGATCTCTTAGCAGTTATATCCATTCTCTCTATTAATTTAATGAAGAATATATTTGATTGGGTAGCGCGCCTATCTTGATTTTTAGAATTTTTAAACTGGGGAAATTTCGAAAACAAGTTGACAACACTAAAAATTCAAGAACTAGTAATTCGATACACACTTACAATGACAGGATTATCTCAAGAACAATTGGAAACGTTTGATCGTGAAGGCATGCTTTGTCTTCCTGATTTTCTCACTCCAGAACAAACTCAATCATTATTATCTCATGCCAAAGAACTCCTTTCAAAATGTGATCTATCCACCCATCCCAGAACACAATTCAAAACTAGTGATAACGATCATATTGGAGATGAATACTTTTTTAATTCCTCAGATAAGATTAGTTATTTCTTTGATACTGATGCTTTTGACGAAGATGGACAATTGAAATATCCTATCGAACAAGCAATTAATAAAATCGGACATGGATTACACATGAAAGACTCCATATTCCATCAAGTTACATTTTCGACTAAGATGAAAGAAATAGCAAGGTCTTTGGGATTTGAAGATCCTCGCGTATTACAAAGTATGTGTATTTTCAAACAACCCGTTTCTGACAAAGAAATCGAACGAGACAATGCAGTCCCTCCACATACAGATGCTACTTTCTTATTTACCCATCCTCAAACTGCAATTGGGTTCTGGATAGCTTTGGAAGATTGTACCCCTGAAAATGGGTGTTTGTCATATAATCCAGGCACACATAAGACCCATCCCGTGACTAAGAGATTTGTGAAAGTGGACGGCGGTGCCAAAGGATGTAGCTTTATCAAAGTTGGAGAAGAGGTCGAAGGGTTGAAAGATGATCCAGATGATTATAAACTTGTGCCATGTAAAGCAGGATCATTGGTTCTTATTCATAATTCAGTATTGCATAAATCCGAGAAGAATAGATCTAATAAATCTCGATATGCATATACATTCCATGTTATCGATGGGACTGCACAGTATGATGAGTTGAATTGGTTACGAGTTCCCCCTGATGCCACCAACGGCACCGAGTTTTCGAAATTATACGAAGAATAAATAAAAACATTAAAAGCCATATTCATTAGAAACCCCTTATTTATAAAAACTAAACACCAAGAAAGAAACAATTTAAAAATAAAATTCAGAAACCCAAAGAGAGATCCTATCTAACAATTCAGAGCATCAGTTTCATTTACCAATTTCCCTTGCCAACTATAGTATTTAGACATATCAACATGATGTTTTCTTCCATTACTAGCTTCATACATTGAGCAACCAAACATAGCAGCATAAGGAGGAGTATATAAATGTAAAGAAACACTAACCCTATCAGTCAATGGATTTGAAATTCTATGTAAGCCAATATTATCAGAAATATAACCAACTTCATCTCTATTCAATGTAGTCTTTTTCTTAACTTCTAATTTCCCTTCATTGGTCGGGACATCATATAATGATTCAACCAATTCACCAGCCAAGATCTTCATACAACAATGAGCATTGGCATGATCATGAATAGCACTGGATTTCCCGGGAGCCCAGACCAAGATTAATAAGTTTGCGTTACCATTAAGGTTGATAATTCCATTTCGGGAATATGCCCTTGAAGGATCATATAATGCCAATTTTTCCCAGTCTGACTCGTTGGAGACGTAGGATTCCATGAGGTGTCTGACTTGGTCAACATCAACATCATCTGAAGATAATCCTTTATCTGGACCTAAGATCTTTTTTAGTTCTTTGATTAATTTTAAGAATTCACTATCTTCTGGAAGGCAGTTGATTTCGGTCCCATTGATTTCGACAGCATGGTCAACTGTTGGTGCCAAGGTATATGATCTGGGAACTGCTGAACCACAACGAGAAGCTGGAGGAGTGGTGGCAGATGTCTCTGGTCTTTCAAAATAGTTGGGGGCTGGATTTAAAAGCATAGTATCGTATTTGTGGATAATTTATATTGTTTAACTCTAAGTGATAACTTTTCTAGAATATGAAAACAAAGTAAAGCAAAATAATGAAGGAATGAATATAAAAGGAGGTAAATAAGGATCGAGGAAAACTAAAGTGAAATTAGCGAAGTATTTATACTTTTAAGAAGGTATGTATCTTAACCGTTTAGAGGAGAAAGAAAACATGTCCGTTCGCGAAAATGAAATCGGCCGATGGTGGCTGGGAGTTACGCAATTCCAGAATAAAACTTTTTTTTCTTTAATTTTTGTATATGTGGCGGCAGCGGCGGTCATTGTTTACAAAAATAGAATTGCTCAATTTCATTGGCGGTGGAAACGACGGTGCCGTCACGCACTTCCAAATTAGGAAATTTTTCCTACTCAAGAAAGGCACGCATACCGAAGAAGAATGAATGGACCAGAGCAATTATATATGATATGAACAATAGGCGGGGATATACGTGCATAACCATGGAGGTGCGGGTACACCGTTCCCGTTGGGGAAGTAGCTTCCCAATCTAGACCATTGGCCGACACGTCATGTGATTCATTTCTTCCTCTGGGATCTCCACCTCCTTTTAGTACGAACCCTATTGAACTTCTGCACTCTAGAACTAAGCTTTACATTAATAGAAAGTAGGCAGAGTTCCATTGATTCCTTTAAATCTAGAATTATTAGCACACCAGAATCTTTTTGGACAGAATTCTTTGTCACAACCGAAGATGACAATACTTTTCGAGCACGCCTCTACAAATCTGATTTGTCATATGTTTGATATCTTAAAATCTTCAGTTATAGACCGACATTTACCATAGTAAGGCTATCCAAGATCTTAATTTTTTCTTGCCGTATCTGACATGGCCAGGGGCGGTTAATAATTCCAAAAAATAAATTCCCATAACTCTCCATTGCTATTGTTGACGGGTTTATCGATGCCGTCAACTTGTTTCGCCAACTTGCTTCGCCAATTCTCCAACTAGATAAAAGCGGCCACTCAAACTTAAAATAAAAATAGATTGTAACAATAAAGTAACAATACGCCAACAAATAGCGGGGCTTGATTACGTAAACCACAAAAGTGCGGGCCCACCATTCCCAATTGGGAATAAATTTCCCAAATAGGTTTCCATTGCCCCGCCACGTCATGTGACCATGTCATTTTTTTTTTTCAAATCCCGAACAATGGAGTTTGCGGTGAACAAAAAAATGAAATTTCTTTTTTTGTGATATTTGTCGCTAAACTCCCAGTCTGAACAACCCCCTTTCCGAGTCATTTTATTAGTAATAGGTAGTGTTTGACTCATAGCGGCGGTGGTTGTCATCATTATTTTCATATTCCATTTTTAGGATTTTGAACCGAAGAGAAAAAAAAATTCTATTTTTTAGGTTTTTAATTTTATTTATTTAAATAAGAGCCGATTGGATCCACACTTTTTTTTGCGTTTGCTAATTTTTCTTTTACATACAATCATCAATAATTACAAGTTATAAGTGATTAATCATTAGTTATTACTTCAAGAAAAGTATAGAAACAAGCCGGTTCATATTCAAAATCGAACCAAAGATATTTGCAACCATTTCGTTTAAACTTTGTTAAATTTTTTTGCATCCATAAAACTGTGGCGTATACTTTAAAATAATAATGAATCACGCAATAGTCACAAACAATCACATTCTGCAACACCAACAAGATGAGCAACAAGACAATAACGGTCTTAGTGCCGACTCATCTGCCACCACCACCGTTTATGTCGTTCAAGATACTTCCAACAACGATGTTCCACACTGTGAAATCACCAATAATAATAATACCAATATTAATATGGATAAAGATGATTCAATCTATACAAGAGATTCAAATTATGGTGATGATGTCCCATTCTTCTATCGCTTAAAGGGTTTAATATTTGATGAGTTCATAAAGGCATTTTCTCCAGTATACTTTGTTTCCATTATGGGTACAGGTATTTCTTCAAGTCTTTTATATCATTTCCCATATCCTGCTGAATGGTTAGAAATATGTTCATATATAATGTTTGGTATAACATGTATTTGTTTCATAGTCACAACTACATTATTCATATTACAATGTTGGTATTTCCCCGGTAGATTCAAAGCATATCATGTTGATACTGCCCAAGCGGTATTTATGGGTTGTTATTCCATGGGTTATATTACAATAGTTAATTTCATCGAAAATATCACCGATGGTCGTCATACTATATTTGTATGGGTATTATGGTGGATTGCTGTGTTTTCAGCAATATACACTGCATTCTTAATTGTTTATTTGTCATTCATGTCTAAATTAAATGAAGTTGATTTAGATGCAAAATTAAATGCTACTTTATTATTACCAATAGTTGCAATCACTGTGGTTTCAAGTTCAGGGCATCAATTAGAATTAAAATTACCAACTACAAATCAAATGGTTGTTACCATGATTGTTAGTTTTATGCTTTGGTGTCTTTCTATAAGTTTAGCATTTATGATTATGACCATTTATTTGCATAGATTAATTGTTCATAAAATCCCGCCAACCAATTTAATCTTCACCAGTTTCTTACCAGTTGGGTTTTTAGGACAATCTTCATATAGTGTTATGTTATTTGGAGTTAATTTACATCAATTAATTCCAGAAGAATTAATGTGGGGCAAGATCTTATTATGTATTTGTGGATTCTTTTCAGTATTCTTATTATCATTTGGATATTTCCAAACATTTGTTGCTATAATGTCAATATTCTCCAAGATAAAGCCATTTGCTAAGAGTCCAAATCCAACGCATACTAATAAATATGGGTTATTGAAAATTCATAAAGGTTTCTGGGCAATGACTTTCCCTCTTGGTACAATGTCATTATCAAATACAGAATTAGGTAAAGGTGTAATTGGAGATTATCCATTATTAACATTTAAAGTAATGGGGGCAATATTTGCTGCTGCATGTATCTTAATTACATGTGCTTGTACCATTGGTGCCGTTGTTCATACTACAAAGAGAATTGCATCATTGTTTCAACATCGTAGTGATATTGATAGTGATGATACATGTAAGGTGTAGCAGAGTCGGTGAGTAAGTAGAGTATTTATTTTTTAGACCCTTTTATAGAATTTTAGTGAATACTTGTCTTTCTAAATATTGTCAATTACGTGGTCTCTCGTAAGTTCGTATATTATAATGTAATTACACACATGTGTAGATATTGAACAGCACATCATTACCCCCTAATTCGTTATATAATAATTATTCGAATATTATTTAACAGTTCGTATTGTTTCTTATTTAAACCCGCCCAAATCTCGCAATCTAAAAATACCCCAGCTGAAAAAAAAAAATTACACTTTCCAATTACCATACTGACAGATCTTTTAATTAATCACATCGCCAAGAAAGTATCAAAAGAAAGATCCACCAACCCTTTTAAACCTAAAATCAAAACCAGCCTTTTAACCACAAAGATGCCAACCAAAAGGTCTAAACAAAAACCATCCATCTCCCCATCCAAGCTCCCACCCGGATACAAACCAGGTCCATTCCGTCCATTTCATACCTCCAAACTTCTCAATTATTTCCAACTCACAAAGCTCGACCAATTCTTAACGGTCTCCTTATTGGCATTATCAGTAATCATCCGCCTATATAAATTATATCATCCAGCTAGGGTTATATTTGATGAGGTTCATTTAGGTACATTTTCCCGAGAATATTTCAAAGGGGAATTTTTCATGGATGTTCATCCACCATTAGGTAAATTAATCTTCTTTTGGGTTGCTATGTATTTCGGCTGGAATGGAGAATTCGGATTTGAAGAAATTGGAGATGCATATGATAATAATGTCCCGTTTTTGGCTATGAGAATGGTGCTGGCCTTGTCTGGGATTGGGACTATTATGTTGACTTATTTTATGATGAGATTATGTTGTCGTAGTGGAAGTTTGGTGCCTTGGTTTGTTTCCGTGCTTGTTTTGATTGAGAATTCACTTGTTACTCAATCGAGATTGATTATGTTGGATCTGCCATTGATGTTTGCTCAAAGTGTGACAATGTTTGGATATAAGAGTTTTGCTAATCAACGACCATTTTCAGGAAATTGGTTTTTGATGTTGTTGCTTACCGGATTAGGATTGGGTGTTTCTGTGTGTATAAAACTTACTGGATTATATACTATTGCTTGGGTAGGAATCTTGACTATTATTCAACTTTGGAATATTTTGGGAGATTTAGAAGTACCTATTTCAACTTGGGTTAAACATGTTATATATCGTGCAATTGCCTTGATTTTTATTCCAATAAGTATGTATTTATACTTTTTCCAAATCCATTTTGATATGTTACCATATAATGGTAGTGGTAGTGGTACTGTTCAGTCAGCATTCAGATCCACATTTGAAGATTCAGAATTACAATTCATGCCGGTAGAAGTTCTTTATGGGAATTCAGTTACTATCAAACATAACAATTTGGAATTATATTTACATTCACATAATGCAACTTATGAAAGTGGCTCGGGAGAACAACAAGTCACATTATATCATTCTGATTTTGATGAATATAATGAATGGATGATTGAATCCAAAAATAAATTCAATGAACGATTAATTGAAAAACAAAAACCAGTTAAAGATGGTGATATAATTAGATTATATCATAAAGTAACTGGGAAATATCTTCATGTTAATGATGTACGTCCACCACTTTCTGATTATGATTATGCTAACGAAGTTAGTTGTGCTGGTGACAGAGATCTCTTGGGTGATATTAATTATGAATTTAAAGTTAAGATTATTGACAAGAAACCCCATGGAAGGAAGGATTTACCATTAATCAAATTACGTGCTACTGAAAGTATTTTCCAATTGATCCACCAAGGTACTAAATGTACTCTTCTTGGTCATGAAGATTTATTACCCGAATGGGGATTCGGACAAAATGAAGTAGTATGTATAGATGAACCAACTATTCCTAATACACTTTGGTATATTGAACTGAATTTTAATCCAAAGAAAAATGTAACTTTTGAAAAGATTACGTTTGGTCCTTATTCATACTGGCAAAAATTAAAAGAAGTTCATAGAGCCATGTTTAGAATTAATAGAAGTTTCACTCAAGATCATGATTATGCTTCAACTCCAGGTGGTTGGCCGTTTGTATTGAGAGGTGTTGGATATTTTGGAAGTCATAATGATGTCATGGAAAAGTTGACTGATGAACCAGGGAGTATGATCTATTTATTAGGTAATGTTGTAATTTATTATCTGGCATTCTTTATATTGACATTATGTATTGCCAAATATTTAATTCATTTATTTTTCCAAATGAATCCATTTAAGATTCCTAATGAATCTCCAATTGTGACTAATTTTTATGAAAATTCAAGAGATTGGATCTTGGGTTGGGCATTACATTATTTACCATCATTCCTTATGTCAAGAAAATTGTTTTTACATCATTATTTCCCAGCATTGTATTTCTCAATTGTATTAATTGGACAATATGTGGATTATCAAATGTCTAGAAGAAAGTATTTTGCATATGGTTTAATTTCAGTTATTCTTGTTGGTTCGCTTTATTGTTTCATTACAATGATTCCAATCATTTATGGTACTGAGTGGACGGTTGCTGGTTGCACCGCTAGTAAATTGTTTTCTACATGGGATTATGATTGTATGGCCTATTCTGATTCGGTTGATTTCGTCCATGATGATGTTGTCTATGAAGATGAAGTCTATGAATAGCAAAGTCTATTATTTTGTAATATAATACATATAAACACATATTTTTTTATCTTCTTGATTCTGATATTCCTGTAGCCATTTCTGCAATTAATTCTTCACACCATTTCAAAAGTTTGTCTTTTTCTTCAATCTTTTTAATCCTTTGTAATTCAATTTCTTTTAATTCATTACTTAAATCTTGCATTAATTGTAATTGAGATTCTGGTGATACACCTATTCCAGGAAGTGAATCTATCAACATGCTTATTTGTCTTGATTTTAGTATAATATCAGTACTTAATTCATTAATGGTGTTCTCAAAGTCATGTTGTTGTTCAGGATGTTGATTGTTTGGAAGTACTGAAGGCATATTGGACGCTTTATTACTCGCATTATTACTATTATCTTGAGCACTACCACCACCACCACCACCACTACCTTCATTGGGAGACATCTGAGAATGGGATTGTGATTGTTGGTTTTGTGCTTGGGGCTGTTGCTGTTGTTGCTGTTGTTGTTGTTGACCTGGTACTGGTGCTTTTGCTGCCATATTTGAAACTGATGTTGGGTCATCATCCAATAGTGCTGGTTCAGCATTTGCATTTACATAATTTACAGTTGCATTGAATTGCTCTACTAGTTGGTCTAGACATATCTGTAATTGGGTTAATCTATCCGCCATATTGATTTCCCTATTGATGAATCACGTCTTGGTTTGTTTTACAACACAGTAAAATGGAAGTTAAAGAATGGTTGGTGGTTGTAAAAAAAAAACAAAATCTTATAGTCGTGTATAGATGATCAAAAAAACTTGCGCTACCATTATTACAAATTTTTTGTTGTAAGTTAACTCCAAGTTTCCCTCATTCCCTGTCTCTCTCCTATCTCTTTCTCATTGTTTCTCTCTATCTACTTTTCTTAGTTAGGGGTTTTTCTGTTTGCCTTCGTATTTTTATTTTGACACACACAGCAATCGTCTGACTAATAAATCTTTTTTTTATTTACTTTATCTTTGCTTTACTACCCGTACTACTGATCCACGACTATTGCTACCAACCTACTACTACCACCACCACCCCTACAACCAACCGACGTATCCATCTTCTATTCATTTCCGCCAAACAAATAAAGATATCAGACCCTTGGCCCCTCCATAACAATATAATTTAGTAATACCAGTTTCCCCATGAATAACGATCTAGAAGATGGTCCAATCTGGCAAGATGATTCCAGCGTAACAAATTGCTTTTTATGTAATTCCACCTATCATATCTTTAATCGTCGTCATCATTGTCGTAAATGTGGTAGGGTCGTATGTGGTCCTTGTTCACAACAAAGAGTTAAATATTTCCCAAATACAATAGTGGTATTGGATTATCTGGGTGCAAAACATACTGCTATGCCATATGATCGATTTAGAACTTGTGATGAGTGTGTGGAGGAGATTAGAATGATTAGAAGAGCTTTGTTTGCTTTTGATACTCGACGTAATGATGAGGAAGAAAATGATGAGGAAGAGGACGAGGTTGATGGAGAAGGCTCTGCTGTTGGTACTGCTACCAGTAGTTCCGCATCCTCCGTTCATGAACCTATTCAACTGACGCTGGAAATGGACGGAAACAATGACGATGATAATAATAGTGTGGGGAAACATGTCGCAAATACAAGAACTCGTCTACTTCGAACTTCTTCATCTCGTTCATCTCAACTAATACCCAATTCAAGTCGTCTGCAACGACAGCACCGATATCATCATCGTCATAGTAATAACAACCGAGATGACGAAAGTGATGACAATTTATGTCCAGTATGTGCAGTTGATTTATTGAAATTATATATTGATAAAAACAAGACACATATTGAAAATATATCAAATATTGATTTTGAATCATTTAAAGCTGGTCATATAAGTGATTGTTTAATTGATTATGATTTCAGTACTTCAAATCAAAGATTCTCTCCCACTAATAAATCTACTGCTAGAAATAAAATGTTAGTATATAATATTCCACCAATACCAAAACCAAAATTTGAAAATATTCCTGATTCACATACAGAAGGAGGAGGAGAAGTGGAACAACAAGAAGAAGAAAGTACCAGTGCTGGAGATGAGGATGTAGAACCTCATATTGGATCAGTGAATTCTACATCTACGATCCCACCGTCAGCTGAAAAGAGAGAAGAAGATATAATTGAGAATGAGTGTGTTATTTGTTTGGAAGATTTGAAGCCTGGTGATAAAGTAGGACGATTGGAATGTTTATGTGTGTTTCATTATAAATGCATAAAGGATTGGTTTAATAAGAAAGGTTATGGAGAATGTCCGGTTCATTTTTTACATAAATAGGTTACTCTTTGTATTCATATAATTGGTTTATGTGTTTTTATTTCTATAGGATTTTTCAGTTTGCATTTTATTAGTTTCTAATGTATTTGAATGTTTATTAAAGTTACACATATACTGTATATCTACTTAACGCTCTTCTCTATCAGCATAATCCTTATTTCTACTATTACCTCTCTTTTCATGAATCTCCTTAGTCTGTCTAATAGCTTCAGCAGTAGCTCTATCAACATGTACATGTAATGCATCCAATACTTCCTTTGGTGGTTTGTCCTCTTTTGGTAATTTCTTATCCAATACACTTTCAATTCGAAGATACATTTCCAAATCATATTGAGTAACCAATGAAATAGATTTACCTGATCTACCAGCACGAGCAGTTCTCCCAACTCTATGAATATATGCTTTAGAATCAGTTGGAATATCATAATTGATAACCACATCCACAGAAGGAATATCCAACCCTCTAGCAGCCACATCAGTTGCAATCAATATATTTGATTTCCCCGATTTGAATTTATTAAGGGATCCTAATCTTTGTGCTTGTGAAAGTTGTCCATGTAATGGAACAGCATTAAAACCCAAAATCCTCGCCAATAATGCCGTTCTTTGTGCATGAGCAACAGTTCTCGTGAATACAATAATCGATTTCCCGATAAATTCATTCAATAAATGAATCAAAATCGTATTCTTATATCCATCATTCACCAACATCATCGATTGTACTAAATTATCAGCAGTTTGATATTTCGAAGAAACACTCACCTTAACAGGATGCAGTAAACTTGCCCTCTGTAATTTTTCAATTTTATTAGTCATAGTAGCCGAAAACAAATATGTAGTCCTCTTAACCGGAATAATCTTCAATATCTTATCCAAAGCCGGTCCAAAATCCATATCCAACAATCTATCAGCTTCATCCATAACCAAATATTTCAAATTCTTCAATGAAAACCCTTTGGTATGTTCTAAATGATCCATGATTCTACCAGGAGTAGCAACAATCACATGGGGTTTTCTCATCAAATCCCGAGCTTGATCCATCATATCCATCCCACCGACAATACATACCGATCTCAGTCCCATTCCAGCACCAAGGGCATCGAAGGTGTCCTTGATCTGAAATGCTAATTCACGGGTCGGTGCTAACACGAGGGCGAAATAGGGCTGTTGGGCATGCCATAAGGCTTGTAATATTGGGATGGCAAAGGCGGCGGTCTTACCGGAACCAGTTTGGGCAAGACCGATTATATCTTTACCTTCAAGGGCATGGGGGATTGCTTCGGATTGGATGGGGGTTGGGGTGGTATATTTCATTTGTTGGATTGATTCGAGGAGTTCGGGGACGAGGTTAAGTTCAGAGAAGGATTTGAATTTGAGTTCGGCATCTGGGTCGACTGTGGAGGTTATATTGGAGGAAGAGGAAGGGGATGGTGAGGTGGTGGTGGAGGTGCCTTCTTGTTGGGATTTTAAGGCTTGTTGTTTGATCTTTTCTGCTAGTTTTTTGGTCGCGTCTATCTTGGCGTCTATCTTTTTGACGGCAGATGATGATTTCTTCTTTTTAATAATTCCTTCTTTAGCCATTTCTTGGTGTGTTGTGTGTACTTATCTATTTGGTGTAGTTTGGTTCAGAAGATAAATTTATTTCTTTCGAGAATTTGATAGAAAAAACAAATAATCAGATGGGACTGTGAGATGAGCTTTGAATAATTTTTTTTTTTGCTTCCAGAAAGGCATCTCTATCAACCTCTTCTTCTTCTTGATATTGCTGATACACCATATCTATACTAAAGCAAAGAACTTATATCTATAACTAATCACCATGGCCAAAAGAAGGACAAAGAAGAGAACTCATAAGAAAGTCTCAGAAGAAGAATTAGCCAAGATCCCTCGATCAATGGTCCTTCATCTTGGTTCATCATTAAAGAATCATTCATTATCACAATTAGTCCGTGATTTCAGAAATGTAATGCAACCACATACAGCCATCAACTTAAGAGAAAGGAAATCAAACAGACTTAAAGATTTCATAGTCATGGCTGGTCCTCTTGGAGTATCTGATTTATTTATATTCAATCAATCTGAATCAACTGGTAATTTATCATTAAGAATGGGGAAAATGCCTCATGGTCCAACATTACAATTCAAAATCAATTCATATTCTTTAGCTAAAGATGTTAGAAAGATTTTAAAACATCCAAAATCAGTTGGTAAAGATTCAAAAGAATTCTTAGCTCCTCCTTTGTTGGTACTTAATGGATTTTCAAATAAGATAAATGAAGTTGAACAACATGAAAAATTATTAATTACTATGTTTCAAAATATGTTCCCACCAATTCAACCTCAACTGACTAAAGTCTCCGGAATCAAGAGAGTTCTTATGATTAATAAAGATCCAGAAACTCAAGAAATTGAATTAAGACATTATGCAATTAATACTAAATTAGTTGATGAAAATAGAAATGTTAAGAAATTAATTAATTCTCATCATAACTTAAAGAAGAAATTACCAAATTTATCTAAGAATATGGATGTATCTGATTTATTATTAGATCCTTATTCAGTTGGTGGTCTTACTTCGGATTCAGAAGTTGAAGATGATGCAATTGTAGAAATTAAACAAGAAGACGAAGCAACAAATGTATTAAAGAAGAAGTCACAACCAAAACCTACAACTAAAGAAGATTCTGGTTCAACTACCAAAAAGAGAGCTATTAAATTAACAGAATTAGGTCCAAGGATTAGTATGTCGTTAATGAAGATTGAAGAAGGATTAACTGGATCTTCAAAGACCTTGTATCATGCAGTTATAACTAAATCACAACTTGAGGAACAACAATTAGCCAAGAAACATGCTCAAAGAGCTAAGTTAAAGGCAGAAAGAAGAGCTAAACAACAAGCTGCAGTCGAAGCCAAATTAGCTGTCAAGGAAGAAAAGAAAGCAAGAAGAAAGGCAAGAAAAGAAGGGAAGGAAGGGGAAGGACAACCTGAATCTGAAAATGATGATGAACCAATGTCAGAAGATGAAGGATCTTCAGATAGTGATGCTCCACAAATTAATGCTGAAGATTATGAAAATGATAGTGATTTGTATAGTGATGTAGAAGTTTAAGAAGGGTTGTATAAATATATAGAATTATTAATGCATGTCATTACCATCGTAAATATCTATAATATGTTGATCTATAAATCGCTACTAGTCAGTCACATTTAATTTCTCAATCTCGTCGAAAAGTGTATCAATTTGCTTCCGTAAGTTCAATACTTCAATCGAATCCTCTATCGCGTTCTTAAAATGATCCTGTGATAATTTCAATTGATGTGGCACTAATCCACCAAATTGTAATATAGGATCTATATAAGTTTTCTTCTCCTTCGCATCATCCGTAATTTCCACAACCGTTTCCTTGGCCGACTCCTTCACATCTACCTTCCCTTTTCGTTTCTTAATCCGGACATCGCCATCTCCATTCCCTTCTATTTCTTTCTCATACTCCACCTTTTCTCCACCATTCTTCTTCTTATTCATTTCTTCCAATCTATTCACAACCGAAAACTTCCCCAACTTGCGTTCAACCTCCACACAAGCATCTTTTGGTCGTAAATCAATCCCATCAATTCCATATCGTTTATCGAACCCAGCAGAAGAACTAAAATTGGCTCGACTTAGATTGAGATATCCTTCTATGAAATTTGTTCTATATTTGTCATTGACTAGAGTTTCGTAGGTGTGGATTAGGTTTAGTAATTCTTCTGTTTTTGAATCTATTGGGGAGAGCTCTTGGGGTATGGATGCTGGGATGATTATGTCCTCTTGAATGGAGGAGGATGACATTGTTGTATATGAATTGTATGTGGGTGTAGAATAAACGAGAGGTTTTGAAATGATTTGAGATTTTTAGTTTATGAAAATTATTTTTCTTTGCATCAACTCATTTGGTGGGTGCAATAATTTTTGGTGCATATACGAGGAATCAAAACAACAATTGCAGCCATTTATTTCAAACATCCGGTGAAGTGGATAAGGACTGACATCTACAAGAATTCCGAAATCAGAATATCAAAGTCGTGTTTAAAAACTAATAGCTCGTAAAATGACCAGCTTCATCTTGGTCATACATTCATCGCCACCATTTTCTTCCATAATTTGGAAACAATTCCCATTTAATGTTGTCTTAGTTATGGCAACTCTTTAGAAAAGTTCCGAATAGGCATGACCATCTCATGATTACCGATCAATGTCCTTGGAATCGTACTTCCGTGATACCCTCAATACCCCGAAACTAAACGATCTTAGCATGGAAATAAGCAGGAAGATGGTTCGATGAATATTCCATATTATTTTGATGATCTTAGCAGTGGAAAATTCCATAAGACATCCCAATAGCCGAAAGTAACCGACCAAACGAATGGAGATAAGCTTGGAGATAGTTCTACATACCCGAAGCTTACGACATGGGTAAATTAGGTATGCAACCTTGATGATGTCATTATGGGTCCTCTATATTCCGCCTTGGATTGTTTCGGCGACTTTAATGTCGGCCACGGTAATTACAAAAGAGCTTGCTTCGTTCATCTGCGACGGCGGAGAATACCACCCTAAGTCCGATGATCATTCAAATAACATCCAGTAACGGAATTAAAAAAGAGCCAGGAGGATATTAAAGCGTCTTCTCGATGATCATTCAATTTGTAATCATTGATCCTCGAATATGCTAATATTTCTTGTCCGCCAGATTTCCGAACCCCGTAGATCATGATAATCGGTTGAAACAAAATTCAAAGACGGTCCAATAAACAGTCAATAACAATGAAATGAAACATTACGGGCGGGTTTATTGTACGTCACGCAAATTACCAAATGAGCTTAGCTTGTTCGTCATTAAACAGACAATATCCCCGTAGACCCGGTGATTATTAGAACTGCAGTTATACAAACCCTCTGCATGTGCAGATAATATACCACCTTATCGGATGGCTTTCTGATAAATAGATCATAACAATGTATGAATGATGAGGTCATAAGCCCGGTTCGGAGATCAATGCAGATACCCGACAAACAAAAGAATGACATACTCTTAATTTTATTAGAGGATGTCTCGTCGATTGTGATATAAGGGCGGTATAAATTATAGAAAAGTAATTCATAAATTACATGCATGAAAGGATCTGGTGGACCGCAATTCCGAGTAGGTGATTAATTAGATCATCGCTTGTGCCTGATGATGACTATAGGATTTTCTATATTTTTCAATTACTGTGGTCATGCTCTGGTGGACCGGCATGCCGCCTGTTTGATACATTAATCATATCTTTAAGTGTAACTGACTATACATGTCTATTTTTCAAATACTCTAGGGTCACACCTTGTCGGATTCCGACTAATTTGATGCATTAATCATATCTTTACCAACTGACTATTTACGTTTATTATCCAATCTACGCCATGGTCACGTCGTGGAGGACGATATCCCGCCTATTAATCAGATATTTACCTACCTACCGCCTGATTATGACTTCATGTTTACCTTTATCACTAAGTCACGCTACCCCCGTATTACCACACACACGAGACGATATCACATACATCCTCCTTCCAGGGATAATAACCATCCTCTAGACGTTATAGTAAACACATACAATAATAACACCGGTCTCAAGTTACTATTTTTCATGTTAAAATGACAAGAAAATAATAAGGTATTCGGTAAAAACCTAAACAGAACTCCGGCCTAGGAGGATATTAAACTTCTTCCTTCTTCTGTAGAAATAAAGATTAAAACTGGGGTCATACTTTACATATCATTATGACACACATAATAACAAATTAATGACATATGACATAAATTTTCCCCATTGGGGGTTTTATTGCAATTGTCGGTAATTAATTGACAATGTAAACAAACAGGTGGTCATTGATGGTCATGACCAATTTGACACATGTCCACAATATCTGGCCATTAATTCTTGGAATATATAATAGAAAACATGAGATCATCCATGGAAGAGATATTACAGATTCATGCAGAAACTCTTGACGCGGCCGAATCTGGTGACAAATTGAATTATGCAAGGGATATCTCGTGACATTGTGCATGGAAGTACAGAAAAAGAATGTTCTTGACTATTTTCGGTTGAATCGTTTCTTTTTTTAGTGTGCTCATGATTTTGTATTGTTCTGGAATTTTTTTTTTGTGTACCTTTTCCTCGGATATGCCAGATTATCCGGAAAAAATAATCTTTAATCCTTTCTAACCCCGGGGGGAAACGATTTCAAATTTAATCTAATTCCCACATCTTGAAAACGCCTGGGGTATACACACATAATATACAAATGGAAATACGTATCATACATCCTTTGCAAATGGAATTGTGTCAACTGCAAGGCGGTTTCTTTCAGAATTTGCTAAAAACTGTAAAGTCAATTTAGAATAATAAGGATCATCTCTTCATTTCAAGTTTAGAAAAAGTTTATTTTTGGTAATTCTCCAGAAATATTGAAAAAATGAATTGGTAAGCATTTGCAGAACTCGGGAATTGGTTGCTGAGAAATCCGGGGTATACAATGGCCAATATCAACTGATCTGACTCACTTTTGCCGAAAGACAATAGGCAAGGTTGATAAAACGGTTCGGGCCAAAAAAAAAAAAAGAAATAAATAAAATCCATATCCGTGGAAGTGGGAATTTTCATTCTCAAAGGGAGAGCGCCCTTACACATGAATAATCTACAATTACAATTATTACTGTATTTCTTGTTGTCTATTAGAAAGGGTATGTATATATTATATATTACTATGTTTAAAACGATACTGAATGCAAGAAAAGCAAATAAAGCAAAGTATTAGGGGGGGCCAGTATCAGTATTAAAATTTGTAAATAGTTTTCAATCGGTTAAATTCTCCATCAGGTAATAATGAATTAAATCCAAATCCAGTTTCTTCAGTATGAGTAGCATGAATCAATTTAATTTCTTCATCTGATCTTTTTCTTTCTTTCATTTGATTACCAAATTCATGAATTCCATAAATCATTTCTTCTGATCCAATATGTCTTTCGGTTCCACCTAAATATACAATTTCAGCTAAATCATGTAATATATTAGCAGTTAAACCCCAAACATCATAAATTCTTTCTTGAGTCATTTCATCTTTTCTTGCTCCTAATCTACCCCATTTTTGTAAATTTTTCTTTTTGGAAACTTTTGGTATTATATTTGGTGGTGTAACTCTTCCTTTATCTATTGAATCCAATTCATCACCTAATCTTAAATCTAATTCTGATTCTTCTTCAGAACATGATAAATCTTTAATATCTTTTAACCATTCAACTTCATGTTCACTATTTTGTAAAAATGTATAAGAACGTAAATCCCAAGGGATTCCACCCCATTTAACTTTATAACTTACACGTTCTAAACTTTCAAGTGGAGTTTCATCAACTATAGGATATAAGAAGTCTCGAAGTGGACATGAAAATATTGAAGAACTTTCACCAGGATTAAGTTGCAAATTTAAATGTTTAATTAAATCATTATGTTGTTGAAAATTCATAAATCCAATACATGGTCTAACTGCCGAAAATGTTCTTGATAAATAACTGGGTAACACATTTAAATGATCAATTTGAAAACCATGTTTGGCTAATAATTCTGAATTATTTGAAGAAAGTCCGATTTCTTCATGCATTTCTCGACGTGATACTGTCCATTCATCTTCTTGACTACTATCTGCTTTACCACCAGGTAATGATATATGACCAGGGAAACTACGTAGTTTTGATGATCTTTTGGTAAGGATGACTCTTAATTCACCTAGATTACCTAAGAATAATAATACAAATACTGCTGATCTTCTTGATACTGGTAATTTATGCCATATTGAATGTGATTGATTTTGATAATATACTGGAAGATAATTACGAATATTTTCAAGGAGTGTTATCTCATTATATTTAGTCATGGTTGTGTGTCTTAGTGTATGTATGTTTGTATGGATGTACCTTATTAGTACAAATGTCTATAAATGAATTGGAAGTTGTTTGTGAATTAATTTATTTGTTAATTAATTAATTAATTGAAAAGAAAACAAAAATTATAAAAATAAAAAATCTTTTTTCAATTGAGAAAGAAAGATGCGTCTGTTTATATATACAGCAGCAATATTTAATTTAAATCAATAAGTTAAAAAATATTTATTTTATTTTTTAATTTGACTTGATGAATAAAAAGAAACGTTTTAAATAATAATATTTTTTTTCAGTTTCTCCATGGATAAAAAAAACACTAAAATTCTATTTTTGCATTAATTACATTTTATACACAATTCCAGACAATAATTGACTAAGTAATGATTACCATAATTACATATCAATTGACGCACTCACTCAATTGATATTAACAAATTTCAGGATAACCATTTAAAACAATTAAGACTGAGGGGAGAAAGAAAATACATCTCGAAATTGGAGTAATTGAAGAGGCGCATACACAATAGGGTTCCATCATATGTTTATCTTGAAATAGAATGATTTTTTTATAAAGTTATTTTTTTTTTTCGTTGATCGTGTTTATTTCTCCAAGTACTGCATATAAATAGTTTCATAATGATCACGTGACTTAAGTATGAAAAACCAAACGGCTTGCATATCCGTTTAACCCTGTAGTTTATAAAAATACGAGGCTACTGTTTATAGTTATCATCACTCGCATATCGTACTTATCGTTTCTCTCTCCAAGGCTTGGTTTAACGATACTTGACACATGACTGTATAATCTGTGAAGGCGTTTGTTCTGTCTGTGTCGTATAGCTTCCTTTTAACCATCCCCTCCTCCCCTCCTCTTGTGATATAATTATTTTTTTTTTGTTGTGTTTTGTGTTTAAGGAAAAATTTCTCGTTTAGAAAAAATCAATTGCAACAATTCTTTTTCTATTTGCCTTCAGCTAAAGAAAAAATATTGTTGGCTAGGTTAATATCTTATCGTAAAAAAAAATGATGGAATTTTGGCTAAGAATAGAAAAAAAATTTTACTCCTCATTTTTTTCAATCTACTTCTCCCCATGTCTTTTGTTGTGGTTGTGTTTTTTTTTTGTTGGGTTTGCATGACATTGCCCACTCTCCTTGTATATGAGGGGAATTGATTTATTTTATTCTTTTTGTTAAATGACACATTTCTCCAATCTAAACTATTGACATTTAATCCATTCAATTGAGTTTTCAATTGACAGTTTATAATTAAGAATTTTCACTTTTAGATTTTATTTTTATGATTTGCAAATTTTGCAGCCATTTTCATAGTGTGTATTTCTACTTCCTATTTTTTGAAAATTGCTCCTTTTTCAGAAATGTTTGTTAATCTATCAAGCGTTCACCAATTATACACTTAGCTACATCCATTGGTGGTAATAATTCTGATTATATTGGATGTATATACCACCTATTACTTAGGAATCATCTCATCGTATGAGTCATACTAAAGATGGTTGCAATTTTCCTATTATTTTTTTTCTTCTCTCTTTTGAAATTTTCTGCTCCCCTCTTTTATTTTTAGTTCCAATATTACGGAAATACAAAATTTTATTTTGTGTTCATCGCTGCCGGTTCCGGCGAGAAGTCGGGGAAGAAGAAGATTTTATCATCCCTTTATGAAATGTGATTGCTACCTTCTTCAATCACCATCAATGTATACTCAATTAGAAGGGTGGTACTTTTCATGTACATTCACCTTTTAGCTTGCTTTAGTTTCCACATTTTCGTTTGGAAGTTCTACGTACCTGGTGTCTCTAAGTTCTGATTCAGCGAACATAACCTTAGAATGCAACTTTATACGAGAAGGTTATTGGCTGCAAATTTTGACTTTTAAAAAACTATACATTCCAGGTCTTGATTGTAAATGGTTTTACCAATCTATAAAGCTTTTCTAATTGGAGGTTCAAGTTTAAAGCTGTCGTTGTATCTCACATTCTTACACTGATGGGCGTGTATGGTTTAGATTTAGAAGTCTAGAAATGGAAGCTTTCGAACACAAGCTTATAATAACAAGTTTACAAACAAAAGATGAAGTGTTTTTGCTTAATTATAGTCGCTAGAATTTGCCTTCGTTGGGACTAGATTTTTTAGTGTTTTTTTGAGTTTGTTCCCACAATGACTAATTTGCAGCAATATTTAGACGCCCGATTGCGAAAAAATTTGTAATTTATAACTTCATTTATACTTTTCCTTTCTTTTCTTCTTTATTGTTCACAAAGAAATATATCAACTCAATAATATATTCAATCAACAATTTCCTATATCTCATCATTCCTCCTAAGGCCGTAATGTTCAAAGTATTATTGGAGGAGAAGTTGTTAGAGGGAAACATTTTTCGGCATTAATCCACAAATATGAAATTAATCCACAGAAGCCAATTTGAAACTTCTTACAACCATGATCAACATTTCAATATGACTGCTACTCCCTTATCAGAATTTCATTAATCATTTATTTTTAAATCAAAGTTTCCACCATTGTTATCCAAATCCACAAAACCTAAATCCACAAAACCTAAATCCACAAAAACCAAATCCACAAAACAATTTAAAATATAAAACATAAAGATGAGAAACTGGTGGGGATACAATTTGGAGAGAGTCGGACTGGATTTCATGGATCAGTTTAATTAAACCTTTCATACTTAATCAGCCACCTGACCAATGGTTGGCTTTGTGTGATGGATTTTTTATCTGATTTAATGGAAGAAGGTTTGGCTTAATCTGGATTGGAGATAGACAGGAGACTGGGATTAAGAATTTGATCAGGATTCCATGGATATGATGGTATACTTTGATGAGGATTTCAATGGTAGTACTCGATCATTTATGGACAATTGGGTGTGGTTTTCATTCATAGAGAATAATTGTGGATTTCATTTATAGAGATTAATTGTGGATTTCATTTGTGGTAATCATTTATCGAATTTTTTATTTGAATTTCTATGGTAATGAACAATAATATATGCTGAATGTATTGTTGATGTCAGTGAAAATCAGAAATTGGTATTGATGCAATTTGCAAAAAGTTTAACTGGATTTCGTGGATCAAAAAAATTCCTTCATATTGAATTAGCCACCTGACCAATGGTTGGTTCATGTGATGGATTTGATATCTGATTTCAAGGAGAAAGCTTTGACTTAAAGTGGATTGGAATTGGGATAACGAATGGGATTAAGAATTTGACACGGATTTTCAATTGTGGTGACGAATCATTTGGAGAGTAGCTGTTTTAGGATTCCATGCTGGTGATAGAGAATTTGGGAAGAAATTGATGTTGGGTTCGATGAAGGGGGGTTATTAGGTAGTTATGATGGTGCTGGTAAAAATGGGTCGTGAAATCTAGGAGGTGATTACCACATTCTGTGCGTAAATAGTCCTCTTATTGTCGCCGTATACTCGGTCAAAGGGTTCCCCGTATAGTCATTTAGAGGTAAATTGAAGCTGCAAAGCTTAATAACAGAGGGTATGTTAACTTACATAAGGGTTCGGAAGAAATTCACACCGTAAGATTGTGCAGTACCATACTGAGTCGAATTTCAATTTGATTTCGAAGCATTTATTGTTACAGTG